GCCTTGCAGGCTTACTCACACCACCGAGGTCGACAAGGTGCTTACTTACTTAGGCGGTGCCTTCTTTTCTCCCTGGCCGAAGAGGAGCAACTCTTCTGTTCCTGGGCTGGGCTCTTGGTAGGAGTTTGACAAGGGGGTTCTCCAGTTCCAGGAACAGCTTGTTGCTTCTTCTGCTGCAAGACCACCTCAACCAAAAGACCTGGACCAAGACAAAAGGACGGCACGGACGCCGCGGGCCCGGCGCATGAGAGTCACTGGACACGCTGCAGGACGTGCTACCTTATGCTGAGGTGCCAATGCTGCATCCGTGTGCCTCGTGCCGGTGCTTATCACAGCTAAAGGTACCTTTGCCTTCGTGTCTGCGCCCTCAGGTGCTGCTAGCACGATACCGTGGCCCACACTGCCCGCTACGCTGACCGAGGGAGGTCACTAAAAGTCGTTTCCTACCGCTGCGAAGGGCGCCCTTTCCCCGTCCGCGTCTCAATCTCCGATCCATCCGTGCCACCGTGCCACCCACCAGGGCGCCTTCCACGCGCAGACCAGTCTCTATTTGGCCTGGCGCCTTCCACTTCCACCGCGATGCTGCTGCTCTGAGTGTCTCCTGCCTCGGGACCTGCACTTGCACTTGCACTTGCTCCTGCTCCTTCTGACCTGTTCCTGTGCCGGCGTTGCTCCTGCGCTCGGCGCCCTTTAGTCCTCGCCTCTTCCTCCTCCTCCCTCCCCCGGATTTGACCTCATTCCTTTTCCTCCCTGGATCATTCATGCTCGAGAGGAACTGCGACGGCACCCGACGCGACAGCTGCAGTTACAAGACGCACGCAACTGGACGATACCCAGCGAGCAAGGACCCCCGAGGAAAAAAAAGTCGATAACTGACAATGCCTCGTCGCTGCTAACACTGATCGCTCCCTTTTACCCCCCTCACCACCACGTCCAACTACTATTCTTCTGTTCTCGTCTGTCGCTTCAATCTCCTCTTCGTCCCGCCGTCCAGCTTCTAGAAATACGAAATCCTTATTGAGACCGCCGAGTCGTTCGAGCCCGTCCGAGAGAGAGCCCCGTCTGTACCGCGCCCCCTGTCCACAGTAGCATGTGAAGTGCGCTCCGCGGAGCCCGTCGAGATACCACCGCCATGGCGAACAACCAGAGCAGCCCCCAGACCGTACCCGAGTCCATTTCCGAGTCCTCCCAGTCCTACGGCAAACCCGCATCGCGAGGGGGTCTGCCCGATGTCATTAAAGTCGACGGCGTCAAGTCGCTTGTCTTGGACTTGGAGAACCTCGTCCTGAATGGTGCGTTGATCTGTAGCTTCTTCGTGATGCGCCTGAGACGCTGACTGTCCAAAGACCCGACAGCAAAGAAGACCAGTCGTACGTGCAGTTTCGCCTCCTTTGGCGCACCAGGTAGGCACTCCTGCCCGAGCCGAATTGTCCGTCTGCCGTAGCTAACCCCCTCTCTCATAGCAGCACCACCGACGTCCACGATCCCCCTTTACAACGTCCTGTGGGTCGAACTCGCCGGCCAGACCCTCACTATCGATTACGCCAAATATGTTGGCAAGCACAGAGTGCAAGCTGCGCAGTGGATCTTTGACGTCGCCGATGCCGACGTCCCCGACGTCAAGACATGGGCCGACAACCTCCTGACCAGAGCGTACGGGCCGGCGAAGCGATGCAAGAGGGCCAAGGTCCTAGTGAACCCTCACGCCGGTCCCGGAGGCGCGCAGAAGAAGTGGGATGTGGACTGTGAACCTTTGTTCAAGGCGGCGCGTATGCCAATCGATGTGGTCAAGACGGAACGCCAGGGTCAAGCTGTGGATATTGCGCAAACCATCGACGTGGACGCCTTTGACACCATTGTTACCTGCTCTGGTGACGGTCTGGCCCACGAGGTCTTCAACGGACTCGGCAACCGCCCCGACGCGTTCCATGCTCTGCAGACCATTGCTGTCTCGCATATTCCTTGTGGTTCTGGCAATGCAATGAGCTGCAACCTCTACGGTACATACCGGCCCTCGTTGGCCGCGCTTGCCATCATCAAGGGAGTTGAAACGCCCTTTGATCTCGTCAGCATCACACAAGGGGACAGGCGGTTGCTGAGCTTTTTGAGCCAGGCCCTCGGCGTTGTAGCTGAGAGCGATCTGGGGACGGAGCACCTGCGATGGATGGGCGGCGCGCGCTTCACAGTTGGCTTCTTGCAAAGGATCTTCCAGAAGAAGTGCTACCCTTGCGATCTTGCTGTGAAGGTCGAGATCGAGGATAAGCATGGGGTCAAGGAGCATTACAGGCAAAAGATGAGCAACGCATCGGCAACAAATTTGGGCGAGGGTCCCAACGCCGCACCTGCCGAATCAGGGTCGAACACAGATACCCACCAGGGTTTGCCGCCTCTGCGTTATGGTACAATCAATGATGCCCTTCCGGAGGGCTGGGAGTCGATTTCCAGTGACACTATGGGCAATTTCTACTGTGGAAACGTAGGTTTACTTCCCAACCTCACAACGCGCAGTTGCTAACTGGATCTAGATGGCGTACATGGCAGCCGATGCCAACTTCTTTGCTGCAGCCTGCGCCAACGACGGCCTCATGGACCTTGTCTGTGTAGACGGCGATGTGTCGGTCGGCTCTCAACTGAGCATGCTGTTGTCAGTGGAGAACGGCCAGTTCTTCGACAACCCCCTCGTCTCGTACAAGAAGATTACGGCCTACCGCATCACCCCGCGCAACCAGAAGGACGGTTACATCAGCATTGACGGCGAAAAGGTGCCCTTCGAGCCATTCCAAGCAGAGATCCACCAGGGCCTCGGCAAGGTTATCTCGAAGCGCGGCGGTTACGAGGCAGCAGGTCCCACGAACTGGGACAAGATCACTATCGGTAACAGGATCATGGCGTAGGAAGCCACCTGCAAGAAGGCAGCCCTCTTCGTTGCACTAGGTGTTGTGGCACCCATCGATGTGACGACGCGAGCCGTGGCTTGGGTCGCCCAGGCCGTCCGCAGACAATTGCACGGCTTCATCAATGGCATAGTGGCTTGTCTCACGTTTTCCAGTTACTTTTTCAAGATTACTTTTGACGGTCAGCAGTGGCTGAGGTAATAGCGGTAGGGAGCAGTGTTTTTCAAAAAGTCGAGATACCCAGATAGACCAAGATGGGAAGAAGCGTTACCGTCGCCGCCGGGCCAAGACAGGCCCCGGCCGGCAATGCAGCCATTGGATATCAATGTATACCATAGAACAGCGTTGAGCACATACAATTGCTTTTCTTTTCGGTCCCCATCACCCCTCTGAAGCAGTCCCAGATCAATACCAAGTGATTTTGCCGCCTCCCGTTCTAGACCCAAAAAACGCCGTGTTCACCATACAATGCAAAGACAAGATCCAAGTCATGCTGCAGCCTGCTCATTTGTCGTCAAAGCCACCCCACTCGCCGTCGTCTTCCTCTTCCGCGCCGTCCTTGTCCTCCTCCTGGGACTCGACCCAAGGCAGCCTGTCGTCCTCCAGCGACTCGGCCGCCTTGACGCGGACAGTCTTTATGGGCGACCTCTTCAACGGCTCGACGAGCTTGCTGACCCTCTTGGCGAACGCGACAGCCTTCTCGCCGGCGCCCTCCTTGATGATCTCCGTCCTCTCGAGCTCGTCGACCCAGATGTCCACGCCGTGCAGGCGCAGGCCGATGGGCACCTTGCGCAGGTCTCCCTCGACCTCGAAGGGCCACTCGGCCAGCACGCCGGCGAGCGCGTCGGCGCGCCCCTCGGCGTAGTCGCCCTCCTTGACCCAGGTCAGGCCCGAGGCGAAGGTGCGGCGGACGAGGAGGAGGAACTTTTCCATGCGCAGGACGTCGATGTCGGTCCAGTTCTTGGACATTGTCTCGTAGAAGGCGGAGAGCCAGGCGGGGACGTCGGCGTTCTGGAGGCAGGCGGTCAGGGAGGCGAGCTCGGCGGCGAGGTTCTGTTGCGGGACGGCGCGGTCGCACATCCACATTGCGTAGAAGAGGCCCTTCCAGAGCTTGAGGGCGTCGATGCGGGTGAGGGAGCGGTGGGAGCCGAGGAAGGTTTGGAGGGAGGTCAGGGCCTGGGTTCGGAGTTTGCGGTCTGTTGGAGGGGGGTAATTTGGTCAGCTTGGGATGTCTTTCAAGGCGGGCGAAGCTTTGCGACGGGAGGTGGACGAACCGCTGGAGGCGAGGTTTTTGATAAACGGCATGTTTTGTTCGTGGGACGCCATTATGAAGGGGGTTTGAGCATATCCTGCTCAATTGGACAGCGGTTGGGGTGGTTGAACGAGCGTCGGGAGGATCTTGGTGGTCTTTTCGTTTTGCCGGGCTGTGATGAGGATGCTGGCTGAGGCGGGCGGGATGGGAAAATAAAATTGTTGTTCACCGAGAAAACTGCCCCGCCGACCTCGGTGTGGAGGTGCAGGGGTGCCAGATCGGGTCACCGCCTAAAAGTCTGGAGCGGTCGGGTTAGGGAAGGTACATCGCCGTGTACCTCCACCCCATGTCTCCTTCCTCCACTTCGGCTCCGGCTTGGCGTTCGTCCGCGACAACGTCCGACTTCATCCCACTTGATACTGAATCGAATTTTCAGGCGCATTGGAGTAGAACGGGATGAATGGGTACACCATATGTATCTCCGATCCGTCATTCAATCCAGATACTTTGGGCGCTTCTGCTTGCTGGATCTTTGATCCGAGCTTTTGTCATCCTTCTTTTGTTCAACAGGAAGGAACGAAGGGCTTTCTCGGAGCAAAGAAAGTACTGTGAGCTGGCTTTTACCAAATATCATCAATGTTCGCAAGTCTTGGGCGTCAGCATGTCACTTGGGTAACAATGTGGCCAGCAGCCAATTTCTTGCGTGACAGAAGCTTGCTGTGTGTATTCTTGCGGTCAAGTTGTCAACCTCCACTGCCTATGTAGTAAATGCAAAACCCCAACTCCATGCCCTTTTACCACATGTGACAACCCCAAACGCCCAGCTAGTTGAAGTCTCCCAAGACAATCCACCACTAGTTCTTGATAAACTCGTTTGCCAGGCGGTTCTCAATGCGCTTGTAAGCTTCCTTGGAGGCGGCCAGCTGCTTCTTAAGGCCTTCCTGCTCCTTGACGAGTGTCGCAAGCTGAGCCTTGAGAACAGCGACGTCCTTGTCGTGGACGCGGTTGAGTTCGTAAATCTTGACCTCGTGTTGCGACTTGAGGTCAATGACCTTGGAGTTCAAGACACGCTCACTTTGGGCCTTCGTCTCATCGGCCTTGGCTTGAAATTTGGCCTCAAGCTCCTTGGTGAGGGAAGCGCGAGCTTCTCCGATCATCCTGTCAAGTTGATCTTGGGACCACTGAGGGACGTCGACAAGCTCATAGTCATCCAATCCTTCCTGTTTTGCATCCATCTTGTGAGTGTTTGAACTGAATAAAATGGCGACAAAGGCAGATGGCAGGAATGAAGGACAGCAACCAAAGGGCAGAGTGATTGGATAAAAGGGACAGGACAGTACTCACAGTTGACTTGGAAGTGTTCTTGCCAGTGAAAAGCATTTTGTCGGTTGGTGAGGATGAGAGTCTGCGCGCGCAAGAGAGGTTTGAACGTCAGCAAGATGATTCTGAACAGAGGCGCGAAGGGCAAGCGCGTGGGAAGACAGAGGCAGCTTACCTTGTTGGTGGTGTGAAATGTTTGGAAGTGTCTTGGGTGTATTGTGATCTGGATGGAAAGGTTTTGTTGGTGTTGTTGTGGGAAGAAGGAAATATTTTCTGGGGGTTGAGTGTGTGGGAGGTGGGTTTTATAGCTGAGGCTGTGGTGAATGGGACGAAGAATATACGAGAGACGGGACCGCTGAGGAAGGAGGGAGGAAAGAAGGGAAGGAGAGAAGGAGCGGGTGGGGCACCTGTCTCTTGCCCATGGGTGCGCTGCTGCTGGCCACACCTCTCTCCATCTCCAGCTTCAAGTTACGGCGGTCTCACTGACGAGCCAGCCAGCCTGGAGGGAGGCGCCTCCAGCGTGTTCAGCACCATCGACGTTCGTTGCGGTCAATATCCAGCTGGCGTGGATTCCGGGTCGGCCGTGATGTCTTCGTCGTCACTTGTCTGATTTGCATGCTACCCACCATTTACACTAGATCACTCAATGTCACCATTGACGCGTGTCTTCAAACTCGTTCGATGTGGATGTATATGATCTAAGCCTTCTTGGGTTGGGTGAACATCGTCTTCAGCCCCTGCACTGGGACAACGCCCCATTCCTCGAGGGTTCTCGTGCCCAAGATCTTATCTCTAGCCCGGACGTATGTTTTGACCAACGCATCAACTCGATCGCCATAGGAGGTATACTCCGACTTGTTGCAACGTCAAGGACCTGCTGGCCGAATCCTAATCCTCCAGCATGGGACTCAAGACCTTCTTGTAAATCTCCTGGGATCGAAAAGTCGGCGCTGACTGCATCGCCCAGGCAGCTGGGTTGGTGGACTGCTTCGCCAACAGCTTTTTCGCTGGCTCGACCCCGTATGACCCCCCGCGGCCGCTTGCGGCGTGTCTACATCACTAATATCGCGGTAGAAACCCATGATACCTTCCTTGGAGCAGGAGCGAGATGGCCATCACGCCGAGCGTGGCATTCGTGAGGCATTCATGGAATCTCCACGTGCCGAGGACCTTGGCTGATCTGCTGCTAGCCAGTCATCGCGCGCCGCGCAAGATGGTCTGCTCCTCGGATCGGCCTCGTTGCCAGCGCGAACGACTTCCTCTTTCACCTCGGCATGACCAAGCGCGAACAACACGCGACATCCTGACGCTTCGAGCTCGGGTACGAAATCTTGGTTACCATACTTTTGCGCGGCACCCTCGAAAGAAATACACATGGCCTTCCATCGTCACATCATGTTCTACGAGCCAGGTTGAGACCGCTAGTCAATAGATGCGATGCGTCACTTTCAAATTGAAGATTTGAATCTTGGACCGAAACGGAGACACGTTGTATGCAACACCGAGATCGGCCTTTCCACCATGCAATGCTCGTCATTCGCTGATGTTGATGCTTTACCAGGGACATACTCCATAAACTCCAACTACACGGCCGGCATTTTCGTCCTTCTCGCCCCTGATTACAGTAGCAACGCGTTCACCCCCATCAGACGGCTCCGCGGCACCTCTATTCTTCAAAGAGGTGGGATTGCCAGTGAAGTTGGTAGCGCACAATCCCGGATCGGCACCGAGCACAAGGAATCCGTCAGGCTTCAGACGAGCAGCGTACATGCTCAATAGCATATTGACTGCGGCCTTGCTGACTCGGTATTCTGTGCCGTGCGGGTTATAATAAGGAGAAGAGGGGTCGGCGGCGTGAGTGATGGATCCCATGCTGGAGCTGACGAACACAAGACGTGGGGGCGTGTGCGCAGTCTTCTTGAGGAGAGGCAAGAACGCCTCGGTTACGCCTAGAGCCCCAACAACGTTCGTATCCAGCACTCTTCGAAATGCGGCAGTGGTAGGCGGGCTGCCCATCGATATGATGCCAGCATTGTTGACGAGGATATCGAGACGCCCGTATTCGGACTCGACTTTGCTCGCCGCTGCGTTGATGGAAGCGTCGTCTGTTACATCTATCTGCACTGAAGAAGCGGTGCCTTTGACTCCAGAAGTGGACAGCAGATCCATCGCAGCCTTGTCGCCCTTGGTCGAATCGCGACTTCCGAGAATCACATGGTAATCGGCAGAGGAGAGCAGCAAATTCTTAGCCGTCTCGTAGCCCACACCTTGGTTTCCACCTTTAGATTGTTCTCGTGTCAGTGGTTGGCTTCATGTACTCATGAAAAGGACTTACCGGTGATAAAAACGAGCTTCTTGTCTGTTGCAGCCATGGCGGTTGCGGTGGCTGGAAAGCAGATGAGGCTTGCAATTCGATATGGAGTATAGAGCAGAAGGCGATGGCTTGTCAAGCGGGTTTTCTTTTCGAAATGGCTCATGCAAGTTGCTCCAAATATCAAGAGGAAGCCGCCGGAGCGGCACCGGTACTAACCCGCAGCTATGCGGCACGGTCCGGAGTTAATGATAGTCTAGTCCGGTTCCACCGGCGACGCCTCCTACCATTATATCCGTCCTGTCCGTTCCTGTAATTATTCAGAACACAGATTGAAGACTGCGCCAAACTGATATCTCTCATGAAAAATCTCAAAGGCAACACTCGATTTTGGGTGGCGCGGATGAGCATGTATGCGGTGCTGTTAGCATTTGGCGGATGGCCTCTGAAGATGACACTTTTGCTGTTGTAAGCCTCCAAAGGGTTTGTTCAAGTGAAATATCTGTCCTTCTATCGTCGAGTCGAAAATCATGCTGCTTCTCTCGTTTGGCCAGCCTGTGGCATCTGTTTGTAATAAGTCATGTTCATGTCTTCTAATGATGCTAAAGACCTCACAGACAAGTCCTTGTGAACGTCATTGCTGGGAAGCGCTCTGCCAACGTCTGGCTTGAGCCGCAACGATGATTGGAAGAATGTTTGCGTAGGATATGTATGGTTGAATTACTATCACTAATCATCGTTCATCGACCCATCCTTTCGGAAAGCAGTCAAGCAAGCAAACTTTGGTGTGTTGCTCCGGGCCGTCCTGAACAAGCTAAATACGTTGCCAGAAGGCTATTGTCCAGAGCGATTGTCTCATGCGACGCATTTGGAGGGCGAAGTGGCTCAGAAACCTGTGATCATCGCACTTTGGCATGGATGAGTCTAGGTGTTGCGCCCCACTAGATATCTAACACGAAGACGCGCTAATCAAAGAGACCAAAGCTCATGTCTTCGTCGTCGTCATCATAACTATAATAGTTTGACCGCGCAAGTTCCGGCTTCTGAATGTCGAATTTAAGAGACTCGGCGTACTCCTTGCGTTTCTTCTCAAGAGCGTTCGCGGCAGCACTGCTTTCGCTCCGTTGGGTTTCAAGCTCATTTCTCAGCTTCGTAGAAGTCGAACGCTCCTCTTCAAGCTCACGTCTCAGCTCCGCAGCATCTGAGCGCTCCTTGATGAGCTTGCCCTTGCTTTCGGCCAGCTGAGCATTGATGATGCTGTGGATGAGCTTCTGGGACTCCTCGCTCTCCTTTTTGTGTTGGTTGAGAGATTCTTGAGCATTGTGTTGGAATCTCTCAAGCTCTTCGGCGCGCTTGGCGGCTGCGTCTTCGATGCACTTGGCGATTCTGGCTTGGTGCTCTTTCCTCATCCTCGCGATTTCTTGGTTCTTCTGGGCCAACGCATCTGTATAGATTTTCATGTACTTGGCGCATGCAGCTTCCTTCTGTTGCTTCTGCGTAGCAATCTCTTCGTCCTTCTTGGCGATTTCTTCGGTCTTGGCGGCAATCTCTCGATTCTGCTTGATAAGTTTCTTGTCTTTATCGGCAATTACTCCGTTCACACTTTCGCGTATGCTTTCAATTTCCATTTCCATGTATTTCAGCTCTTCGTTCCCCTGAACGATTTCTTCGTTCTTCTTGAAAATCTCCTCGTTCTTTTTAGCGATTTGATGGTTCAGATCGGTAATCTCTTGGTTCTTCTCAGCGATTTCGTCGTTCTTCTTAGCAATTTCATCGTTCTTGTCGGTAAGTTCTTGGTTCTTCTCAATGAGTTCGTCGTTTTGCTCAGCAATTATTCCGTTTCTCCGAACAATATCTTCGTACATCCTATCAATTTCGTCGTTTTTGTTGGCAATCTCTTCATCCCTCTCGGTGATTTGGTCGGTCTTCTCAAACAGTTCGTCATACATCTGATTAATTTCTTCGTCCATCTCAGCGATCTCGTCATCCTTGTGGACAATCTCTTGATTCTTCTCGGCAATTTCGTCGTTCTTCTTAGCGATTTCTTCGTCTTTCTCAGCTAACAAAGCGTCTACTTTGTCGCACTCGTCGTCGTATTGTTGCTCGAGCGCGGCCATTTCTTTGTCCTTCTCAGCAATCAAAGCGTCTGCTTCGGCGCGCTCGTCGTTGTATTGTTGCTCGAGCGCGGCGATTTCTGTGTTCTTCTGAGCCATCTTAAGGGCGTGGATTTCCTTATATTTGTCGACCACAGCTTCCTGCGCTTCCTTAAGCGCCGCAATCTCTTCGTTCTCCTCAGAAAGCTTGGCCAGTTCGATTTCGATGCACTCGGCCTCGTGTCGTCGCTTCAGCGCGGCGATGTCTTGGTCCTTGGCGGCAATCTTGGCCGCAAGCTGGGCCTCTGTGTACTTGGGGACATCGACGATTTCGAAGTCGCTGAGGGTCTCCATCTTGCTCATCTGTGAGAAACCTTTTTTTCAATCTCGTTTTGGGTATCCGTATGCTGGGGCGGGGCAATCTAAATACGAGGTTTGTTAGCAAGGATTCGTGGGAAGAAGATAGTTCAAGCCCTAGGCGTATTGCCGTATGGGATCTGTTGTCCTTGTATCAAAATGGCGTTCAGACGGCACTTACGGAAGGGGGAAGTGCGGAAATGGAGTTGCGAAATTGCGTTGGGTATGAGCAGAGGAGAAGAAAAAGAAAGGCGTCTGTGTAAAAATTCGCATCGTTTTATAGAACCTTTGACTTGGTTGCAAAGGTGGCTTATCAAAGTTCACCATGGATGCAGCGAACGTTGAAGGGTTCCAGACTTCCAAGGTTGGGTCTGAAGCAGACATGTGTGGATTTTGGTCCCCACTGCTGGACTCGGAACCAAGACTACCATGGTAGGATGACGTCTTTCAAAGCAAAAAGCCTTTGTGATTTATTCCAAGAGGTATCTCGAAGGCGAGAGTACCAGCCGAAACCAGCAAGGTAGGCATTGGAAGGCGGAACGGATGGAAAAACCACGCCTCAGAAATGTGCGAAAACTTGAAAACAACTGAGTATTGGAAGGTTCTTCCTCTGACGTATTCATATGTAGTGCGACTGCTACTTGTTGCTAACAGAGAAGGTTGTTCAGACCACAGCCGGCCTTCCATCGGTGCCAAAGTCGATACCTATCATAGTATTGCTAATCACCCTCCTACTTCTGCTTCTTGTTCTGCTCAGCCATCAAGTCGGCCACGGCCGCCATCTGAGTGTCGCAGAGCTCCCAGGCACGGTTGATCTCAGCCTTGGCGACGGCCTGCTGCTCCATCAACTGCTTGCGGAAGTTGTCGTTGAGTTCGGCAATCTGTTGCTGATGGGCAATCTCTTGGGCAACCATCTGGGCACACTGACGGTCGAGCAAGTCGCGCAGATGAGCGATGACGCGGGCAGCTACCTCTGACTGAGGACGGGGGGTGCCCTGCGGATCAGTCAGCCATTGGCAGGTTCAGTGAAAAAGAAGGATACCGACATTCTGAGCCATGCGGAGATTTACAGCGACAAACGCTTCCTAAGCATAGTCTTCCATGGTCTTCTCCCTGCCTCGGGCAGCAGGTCCCTTGTTCTCGGAGCCATTGATCTGGGTCATGGTGCTGTTCTGCGTGTCAGCAATGGATGATGAATACAACATGGGACTGCGCGTTGTCCTGAGGCAAGAGAAATGACCAGATGAAAGTTTGCACGTACCTGACGACAGTGAAGTTGGCAATAGCAATATTGTCTAGTGACGACTGGGAGTGAGGCAGGTGATAGTAGGACCAGATGAAGTTGGTTTTTTGGGATCCTGGTGGTGGCCTGAAACTAAGATAGGAGGAAGGCGGCAAGGAAAAACAATGAGACGGCAGACAAGTCAACTGTCCTTGGTCTAAACTTGTGATGGAGGTGAACGCGCTCCTTTGAGAGGAAATCAGTGTGACTTCTCTCTTGCGTGGACCCACTTGACATTTCACCTTCAGCATCTCTCACGCGTCTTGAGCATATCACAGAGCTTTGTTTACTCTGCTTACGTCATAGACACTGGAGTTTTGCTTGAGATATTCAAATTCTAGCTCCTTCTGCTTGGGTACCAGGCTGCGACCTTTATGTGGTGGACCAACCTCATTTTGTTCTGCCCTTGGACTGCCACCACCCTCTCCCTCCATCTCCACCTTTGTCTTCTGCCCACTGAGAAAAGTTGCACACAACGAGTAAATTCCTCGCACCAGAAGCCGACCGCTAGTCAGAAAACTTCCTTCCTTTGACCAATTGTTCGAGTTTCTCAACCGTGCCATCACAGATTCTGAGTCCCTTGAGTCTTGGCTAAGCACCACGCATCCGTTGACTTTGGAAGTCATGATCTGAGCCACCGAACCCCAGAAAGACGGCCTCAGACGACAAGTTCACAATGCAGGAAGATCAAATTCACCAGTCTGAGTTCTCAGGCTTTGGTCGCCTGGATAACCAGGCTGGCTACCGTCGTCGTGATCGCCGTCAGTCGACCAGCACTGAGGTACGTCTTCGCCACACCCTACGGGACTTTTGTCCCTTCTGTTTCAATATCAAGAGATGGAAATATTTCGCTACGGTATATAAAGCTGACTTTTGTTTTCTGTCATGCAGGGCCACCTCACCAACACCAGCAGTGACACTTGCCAAGAGCTTCGCGGCCCTACCGTGGGCCTCGCCGATATGCTAGCGGAGATAAATCAGGAGCGACTCGAGTTCGGCAAGGAGCCGCTTGATGAACAGCAGGAGATGCTTGCCATCAAAGTCTTCCAAAGAGCCCAGAGACTCCCAAAGAGCAGCTCCACCATCATCCATGAGAACACCAACGCTAGCCAACCCGTCGGCACCGCCATCAAGGACTTTCTTGACCAGCAGAAGCACAGAGAGGAGGTCCATGAGCTGAGGGAGAAGCGCCACGAGGAGCGGGAGAAGCGTCATGAAGAGAGAGAGAAGCGCCACGAAGAGCGAGAGAAGCGGCGCGAGGAGAGAGCGGAATGGCTGGAATTTGAACATGACGATGAGTATGATCTCGTGAAGCTGCGCCTTGACGATCTCGAAAAGCGCGTTGATCACCTAGATCGGGTCATTTGGTTCTTCGCGGTTATGGCCGGTCTTATTGTCATCATCGACATGGCATTCATCATTGCGATCAAGGATGTCCGCCGCCACGAGTAGGCACCTACGTAACGTGTATCTGGACAACACCAAAGCTACGTATCGAGATCGAGGGGAGAAGCCAGAGAAATCATTAAGTTTATGCAAGTTTCTGATATGATGGTCTACCGTGAAAAAGTCGTTTGACGCTATGTTGGTAAAAACCCAGATCGGCCGCTCCTTCCTTGAACGAGGCCAAGTCTGCTTTCTTGGACGCACTTTGACTTGTTCACCTCAAGCAAGGGACGACCGGAAGAGCATGGGACGGTCGAGGCCGTCCGGTCGTCCAGGCAGAAGCTTTCTCACATTCGAACCACCACACCTACCTACCCACCTACCTACACACAATCGGTCCTCCATCTTCTCGTTGCCACAGCACCGCGTCGACTCCTACGGCCGCCTCAGGCTACCCACCCCTTCAACCTCCCAACCCCGTCTGGTCATGATCACTGGTCTTCCTCTCACTTGCCCAACAACATCGACCGCCCTGCTGACTGATAACTGATCTTCTTCTTCTTCTCTCAACAAGCCCACATCCATTCACGAGGAATGGGCTACGGAACAAGGCAATTCGCTTCACCTTCCGTCGCCACTCTGCCCATTAACTCCCCCTCATCGCCCAAGATCTACGGTAAGTCTATCTTTCTTATTCTCTTTGGTGTTCAAGAGTCGCAACGTCATTTGGATGGAAGGCGCCGTTGAACATCCTTTTCTGCCCAAGCTGCTCCGCGACTTCCCTTCCCGCTCTCCATCCCAACCTCCCCGTTCAGACGCGCGCTTTCACCAGTGCTTTTCTCACCTGGACACGCGTCCCACGCGTGACACTCCTCTTCGAGGCGGCCCCCAAAAAACAAAGCAAACTTCGCCGTTTTCTCTCTCCTTCACCCTCCTCAATCTACTCCTTTCATCTTCTCCCAAGCCGTCCAACCAGCTAACCACCAAACGCGGTTGAAGGTTGAGGAAATTCAGCATCGCGAACCGTCACCACTTTGCGACTCAACGACAAATCCTTATCTATCGATTTGATCGCAACCATCGACTTCGAGATGCCGTCGACTCCTCCCAGCTTGGTTCCTGGCCTCGGCCTCGGCAGCCGCGCCGCTGATGACGGTGACGCCCATCCCTCGCCCGACGATTCTGCCACCGAGGTAAGCCCGCATTTCACTTTGTTTGAGGACCCGATCTCGTTTTCCTTGTCCGTCTTCACGCTGGTCTGCCAGTCTTGCCCTGCTGGGCCCTAAGAAAGGGATGGTCGGGAGCCCGGAAAGGCTGAGGCATGCTTGGTCGCTGCAAACCACCCTACACTGGGCAGGGGCGCCAACCTTCAGTCTCGACGGTGCAAAGATCCCTGCCTCAATTCCCTTTGGGGGATTTGGGTCGGTCCAGCAGGGTTAATGCCATACTCTGGACTGCTCCGATGGTGGTCACGGGCAACAGGTTCTGAGGCGATCCCCCAATCTCCTGTTTCGGGGGTTCGCCGTGTTTTGTCTGAGTCACACCCGGCACAATCACTTCAATGTGTGTTTCTGGAGAAGTGTCTCTGCTCTAACCAAGCAAGAGACGGGCTTCGGGAACGTCGAAGAGTCCAGCTCTTTACAGAATACACTCCAGAATGGCGCAAAGATGCAGGGCACAGCACCAAGGATGGGCGCTTGAGGATTCCAAGAATGGCTTACCTGTAGGACCTTTGAAGAAAGGCTGCTGACGGGTCGAAGGCACAGAACGAACCCAACCTCATGGATCTCAGCATCGCGGCCGACTTTGTTCATGGCACCGTGGAGCCCCAGGTAAGTTCCAGTCATTTTCCCACCGTCTACCCATTCTTGCTAATTTCGTTCCAGCAGGATCACGAGGATGCCACGCGCCCTCAAAGCGACGATTTTGACGACGAGTGGAAGTCTAAGATTATGCAGATCGACTTCAACCAGCAGCAAGAGATTGTTCATCGACGTGTCTTCACCAAGGATGCCCTCCGCACCTTGAAGAGCTTCACTAAGAAGTCTGCCGATCTGTCGGAGCTCACCAGCTTGACTGACAAGCGCGCCCTCGAGGCCTTGACCGGCAACGCAGTCAATTCAGAGCGATCTGCAGTCAACACTGACGCCATCGAAGCGATCCGCATGGTGCACACGACAATGCAGGAAGACCTCAGTGGCCTCCGCACACGTCAGGAATACGATCGCCAGCGAATCGATGACAAGTTCGATCGGCTCGCCGCGTCCAATGCCTACGAGCTCAAAGCCCTGAAGAAGCATTTCGGTGATCAGCTTGTCAGACTCCAGGAGGCGGACAACGTTCTCCGGGGACGGCTCGAGGGTGTCATTGACCGCCAAGATCTCATGGAGAGCGTGTTGGCCGCGCTCCCTCAGAGAGTGTTGGCCGCGCTCCCCCAGAAGCACCACATGCTGTTCGGTGGCCTCGCCATGGTGGTCCTCATGTATATCCTGATTCACCTCACTCGCGACTGATATGCTTAAGGCTTAAAGCTGGATGGAGATGTCGCTTGGAAGATCGGGTTCGGGCGAGAAACACCTTAGGTGTACACAGTGCAATTCCGTTTGCAGAGACCGAGGCCGTAGTTTGACAAGTTTCTGATGGATACCGTACGTAGCATTGGCACCTAGGACGCGCCATAACGAACCTCTACTGAAATTCAATCCGATTTATCGAGGATCCCAGTGTCTTCAGCCGACTGCCCCCTTGAAGTCTTCGAGCAGACCGTCATTGCCAGTTTTCCCTTCGCTCCTGCCTTGCCTAAGATATCTCTTCCCTTTCGCAACCACAAGCGCAGAGGACGGGTTGACGTTATAACACGAAAAAGCGTTTGCCATTTCAGCTCACCTTCCTCGCTTTTACTTCAACTTCACCTGCAGCCAGAAATCGTGGTTGGCTGGGCACGGTCTTTCGCGCCGCCCACATCCCACAACCTAACACGACACGCGACTTTCTGTCTTCGGAGGACCAACCAAGGGAGCCAGTTTCCTCCCAATCCAAATCACCTTCTTGTCTGGTATTTGTTGGGTTCAGAAAGGATTTCGGCCCATTCAAACGCGATCACATCGCTGCCTACCAACAATTTACCATCAGTCGCATCAGCGCCAGGTAAGCCAGCAACCCGTGACACTCAGTTGGAACTCGGCTCACATATTGCTGGCATCACAGACATACCGAACCTCGACTCAGAATGGCATCTCGCCCGCAGAATGTCGTCCCTGTTCAGGGTGCTCCAGGCATCCAGAATCGCAGGGAGGAGCAGACTCACGCCGCCGAGAATGAGAATCTCCCAGAGTCTGCCATTGAATATGAAGTCTACGAGATTGAAATGTCGGCCAGTGAATTTGTGAGCTTGTCTTGATGGGATTCTGGTGTTCTTGCTGACTGGTTGTGTACTAGGCACTGCTCAACGCCTTGCTTCAACGGGAGGCCGCCCAGTCCGCTGCATTCAACGCGACCAACCACCCTCACGCGTACCTTGGACCCCAGATGGATTCTGTCGATGCTTGGATGAATCAAATTGATCTCATCCGGTGTGAGCAAGTCATGGAAATTGCCGCTATAAATACCCTGGATGATAATCTGAAGAGACTTGAGCGAGACCTCCGCAATTTGGAGGAGGGAATGAAGCAGTTGCAGCTTTGGTTTAGCTTGGAGCAGAGGATTCGGATTATCATGCAGACGATGTTCTTCGCTACGTGGTTCACTGTGTTCGTCCTTGCTGCCTTTGCTGTGGGCCGCAAGCTCTAGTTATGGAACCAGCACTTTGTATGGGCTGTTTCTAGGTAGACATCACTTTGAATTATGAGATTGTGGTCTCCGTTATTCATTTTGGCATGAGTGATTCTTTGTACACTTCCTAGGACCTCTCTCTCATGCTGATCATGTGTCTTCCTTGAAGAATCTGCTCATCTCTTTCATCACCCCAAATTTGGCTGCTCCTTCCATTTGTGTCAATACAAATCAAAGAATGGAGAAAAACTTTTCACCTCGCTTCCAAGGCTTGGTTCCTTGAACTGCCCAGCACCGTCTTCAACTCTGGCAACCTGACGCGACTCCCTCTTCAGCCAAAACCCGTTTCCCCTCGAAAACCTTTCGGGTTTCGTCTTTTCCCCAAAACCAACAACATCCGCAAACCATCCAAGCCTCGCACTGGCCTTGATGTCCTCCGACAACCTTCTCAGATTGCGATGAGGTAAGTACCGCGAATCAGATTCTCTTCGTACGGACTTCGGGTTCTTACTTGTCTTCCATTTTTCTACTCGCTGGTTTGCGACGCGTCAATCAGCCGCGCGCCGAACTTCTTCCCTCCATCTCACCTTCCTCCTGTTCGTTCCTGCCCAGTTGGTGCTCCTGCTCCTGCCTTCTTACCACCCACCCACACCAATCTCAGCACTCAAAAACTTCACTCTTTTCTCACCTTAGGACTTTTGAGGCCCTTCGTTTTCAACTTGACCTTTCTTTTTCTTTTTCGTCTGCGTTTTGTGCGTGGGATCTGGTCAATACCAACCCTCCTCCCCTTGCCCTTCTCCCGACACCTGCTTACTTCTTCCAACTTTGCCTCTCTCAGTCTTTCCCACTCTCCATTCTTCCTACAACTTCCGCCACCCCATCTCCAAAGTCTTCCATCCGCCGTACGCACCCCTCAGTCCCCTTCAAATTTGTCATCCGAGCCTACTGACCTCTCGCAATAGCACGACAACATGTCATCTCCTGGAGTGAGACAGTGCAAGATGATCAAGGAGCCCGGCGATGATGTCCCCGACGAGATCTTGGAAGAGATCCTGGGTTGCAATTTCAGCCAGGTAAGCCCATTCCCAGCCTCGTTTTTCTTGCACTTCTTTCCACATTTCCTGCCTGTCCACCTTTGAGCCCTAAGACTCGATTGTCGTCGAGAGGTTTGGCCTGAGATACCGCTCTGGAGCATGCTCGACTGCCAGGACCATTTGGCTCGGTCAACCGCTCAACTGTGAGTCGGGGCGTCGTCCTTCAGAGACGCTCTCTTGTCAGACAATGGCGTCGGGATCCTCAGCCACCACTGGCTCGGGATGGTTCGTTTGTCTCGTTGCACCTTAAACCAGCTGAAGGTCATTCGCTATGCTCTCGTTCGGGGGTTGATCTTGTGGGGCGGTCTCGATCAAATCACTTCAATGTGTGTCTGGGATGTGTCCGGTGGTCATACCCAGTCAGGGAATCAACAGCTCTAACAGGTGCGAGACCCTGGATGGAATGGCTTCGCCGGCTCTCATGGCTTCGGGATTCGTGCGCTTTGTCGGGAACTGGAAGGCACGCGCGACGACATCACGGATGCAGGGTGTGGCAAGATTTGCGTTTGAGAACTTCTAGTGTGACTTACCAGTAGGTTCCTCCTGCTGACTGGGTGAAGAAACAGATAGCCTTGTCGCCAGATTCATCTTGGCGGTGCTTGTCGCTGTTGTCGCCGTTCAGGTCAAGTTCTTTTGGTTTTGAGGGTCGGTTTTGATCAACTACTGGACGCGTATTTCGTCACTAAAATGATGCGCTGGAGGCATCGATATTCCTTTTCAGTGTTATGTCCATATGAGCTACTGAAACCTTAGCAATCGAGAATTCAATCGTGCGTTGTTCTACAAGACTGTTGATGCCAGATGAAATGAACAGAGGTATCTTATTGAACATCATACTAGGAAATACGTATCATCGCTCATTGCCATTCCTTTGCTCGAACCAATGCGGTATTCCCGCCCCAGACTTTTATCCCTTCTTCTCGCTTGAGGCATCAGCACCCGACTCGCTGTCACGATCCCAGATCGCCGACTCCATGGACGGGTACACCAGGTCGGCGTCCTCCTCTCGCCACTCCTCCAAATCGACCAAGTTCCACTTTGCTCTCCAGAACCGGTTGCGGACCTTGTCCGACATGCCCACCATACGAATCTGCACACTCTTGCCGGAGTGCACGCGAATCTCGTCCTTCAATTCCTTCAGCGTCAGAATACCAGAGGTGTCGATGAAGGGCACCATCGTGAAGTCCCATACGACAACGGCAAGTGGTGTCTCTTTGAGGCGGACCTGCTTCTGCGCGCGCAGTCTCTCGAGCCGCTTCTCCGCCGCCACGCTCCAATGCCTGTCACGGTCGTCCTGGCTTAGACTGCTTTCCACGCGGGGGTACACCAGCTTGATCGCAGTCAGAGTCGTGTTCTTGGCGCGCTCGGCGTTGGGGAAGAACACGGCGTCGTTGAAGTCCACGACGATGGTGTCGCCGGGGATCGAGATGCCCGTGTTCTCGGTCTGGGTGCCCGTGGCGGGAGCACTGCCACGACGAGGGCCGCTGGCAGTGATGCGGGTGATGGGCTGCGGGATGGAAGTGGTGATTTCGTTAGAGCTGGAGTGGATGACGGGCTTGACGAATGTTGAACGCAGCATTGTCCACGCAACGGACCAGGCGACCGCGACACCGATGCCGATCTCGGCGCTGACGAAGATGGTGACCCAGAAGGAAATCATGGAGGCGACGAAGTCGGCGAAGGAGATGCGCCAGAAGCGGTAGAAGAGGGACAGGGGGCCGAAAAGATGGACAACGGCCATGATCTATAAAAGGGGGCTTTGTCAGTATTGCGTGTGTCTTTGTTGGTCCGAGAAAAACTTACAATAATGGCAGAAAGGGTCGTGGAAGGAAGCCAGTACAGTGCCGGGGAGAGGACATAAAGTGTCAGAAGGATGAAGCCAGCTGTGAACAGTCCGTTGAGTGGACTCTTTACACCACATTCAGATGCGACGGCGGTACGGGACATGGCGCCACCGACGGGCATCGTGCTGAAGAAGCTGTTGGCGATGTTGACGACACCAAGATAGTTCAGCTCCTGGCTCTGGTCGATCTGGTAGTTGTTCTTCCTGCCAAAAGCCTTGCCGACGGCCAAGTGCTCGAGAGTGCTGGCCACAAGAGGTGCCACGGCTCTCGTCGCCACCTTCGCAACAAGACTTGACTCAGGGACGTGGGGTCTTGCGATGCCGTGGGTGCTAACCTGGCTGACCTTCCAGGCGTAGTCAGCCTTGTCGCGGCCGCGGTTGACGAGGTAGCTGATGAGCGTGAAGATGACGAGCACGATGACGGCACGGGAGTTGGCGAGGAGCTTGATAGCGAAGTGCCGCTTGCCCCATTTCTTGCCGACCTTCTCGAGACCGATGAGGATGATGAGAGTTCCGAGACCAACGCCACAGGTCGGTCCATCCCAGTCAGGAAGACGCTTCAAGACGTCGCCGATGACGTTGAAAACTCCTGAAGGCACGTTGGACAGTCCAACGAGAGAGCCAACCTGTCCAAAAGCAATGACAAGAGCTGCGGCTGAGATGAAGCCTGTGAGAACCGGGAAGGAGACGTAGTCGAGGAGGAAACCGAGGCCGAAGAGACCAATGATGAGGGAGTAGACTCCGACAAAGAGGGAGACGGATGTGGCAATCTTGGTGATATCAAAGCCTTCTTCGCTGAGGTCGTGTACGATTTCCGCAGTCAGGAGACCCAGGATGGAAGTTGGACCGGTTGAGAGATCTGAAGTTTTGCAAGGTCAGAAACCCCCCCTCAAACATGATGTGACATTTCTTCGCTCTGAACTGACCTTTTGAGGTTCCCATAATCACCGCAAAGGCAGCTGGGAGCCAACTAGAGTACAGACCGTTGGCGATCGGAATAGTTGCAATCTTGGCGTAGGCCAGGGACTGCGGAATGAGCATCACACCGACGGTCAGACCGGCGATGAAGTCCGTGATGAGCCATTTGGGCTGGTATTTCGGCAGCCACTGGACGATTGGGACCTTTTCGAGGAGATAGACGCCCGCGGCGGAAGGCAGCTTGGGGGCCCCTGAGACAACAAAGTCGCGGGCCCGGCTGATGCTGGCGTCCGTCACGAACTCGTCCTGGGCATGTTCGACTTTTCCCTTGAAGTTGAACATCTTGACAACGAGGTCTGCCAAAACAGGAGCAGAGAAGAAAGAAGAGAAGGAGGTGTCTGAGCTGTTTGCTTTGGTCGTTCGAGAACAGACAGGTTGGTTTCAAACAGTTGAGATGGTTATATCCTTCTCATAACAGATGACGGTGCAATCGTCGTCGGCCCTACTCCCGGCCTCTTCAACTCATATTCTGACAATCCAGAGATAACAACAAGCCATCCAGCCCCGCTGTGATGCTGATGGAGGTGTTCTTTATGCTTGAGAATGCATTGCTATCTGATCCGCACATTGCAGCTGCCCGCTTGCGCAAGTCCTCCCGTTGCAACACAGACCACATGGAAACGCGCCCTCAACCTGGGATGAAGTCGCCCGCGCTGCCGCACAGTGAACACTCATGCAGACGTGAAGGAGGGTTGGGAGGTGAGGGGTCAGGGCCTTGGGAGGCGTGAGCCAAGCAATCCCAGATACAGCAGCAGCAGAGCTACGACATACATCACGGATGGAGGCTGGCTGTACAACCACCATCACCGTCGACTACATAGGAAACTGCCGTACCCTCCTTCGGACGACATTCGGGATCCCCTCACTTGCCGACGTGACCGGGTCTAATGCAGTTCATCACGGCGTGGTCATTTGAGCGTCGCGCAGTTCACATTGGTGGGAGTTTGGCTGGATGGGCGTTCGTGCGGTGGTAATGCCCCCTCGCGCGGAGTCGCGCCGCGAATGAAGGCCAGTCAAGTTAACAAGCTAGCCCCTGGGAAGGGTGACAAGTGCTGCAACTCCAAGACCGTCTCTTCTCCAAAAATAAGGCCTGAGGACTGAAA